AAACCAAAGACAAAGCGGATACAAACATTTTGCAATCGCTCAAGTTTATTTAAAAGCTCCTCTGTAGCATCCAAATAGCAAGCATCCGCGTAGTCAATCAGAGGCAGGATTAGCGCTTGGACGAGGTGAATCTTAGTCTTCACAGGCAACAGGGTTGGAGGCGCCTCAGGGAATGAATGGAGAAATAAACCTTCCGACTAACCTCGTTCACCTGGACAGTCCAGGACAAATTTGAGTCGATATGCACTCCCAAGTTCTTTGCAGAATCAGTGAATGGAATCACAGTGCCATTCAGACGCAATGGAACAAGACCAGAGACGTCGAGAGCGTTACGATAATATCTGCTTCCGATAACCATGGCCTGAGACTTGAGAGGATTGATTTGCAGGCCAAAACATCTGGCCCACTCTGCAACTCCACCCAAGTCACGATTCATGGCATCGAAAGCAGAATGAGCTTCAGATATGTTGAAGTGACGGTATAACTGCAAGTCGTCTGCATAGAGATGGAAATTAGAAGAGATCACCCTGGCAACGGTGTTAATGAAGATGGAGAAAAGGACAGGAGAAAGGACGCCACCCTGGGAACGCCAGCCGCAAGGTCACACCAATCGGAAAAGGTTTCCTCTAGGTGGACCCGCTGACGGCGACCCCGAAGATAGGATTCAAACCAGGAGAGGAGGAAGGTGAGAAATTATTGGCCTTCAGGACCCCCAATAGAATGTCAAAGTCCACAGAGTTGAAGGCCGAGCTGAAGTCCAGCAACACAAGAATAGTGAGGAATTTATTGTCCATAGCCAAGCGAATGTCATCAGTCACCTTGAGTAGAGCTGTGACAGTGCTGTGGCCAGGGCGAAATCCAGATTGAAAAGGCGAGATGAGGCTGTTAGATGATAAGAAGGAAGATAATTGTTTGTGAACAATATGTTCCATAACCTTGGAGAGTAAAGGCAGGATGGATATAGGTCGATAATGAGAAAGAGAAGAAGGGTTATTAATTTTGGGTAAAGGGATGACGTGGGCATTTTTCCAAGCCGAAGGAAAAGAGCAGGAAAATAAAGAGAAATTGAAAATGTGAGTAAGGATAGGAAGAAGGAGATTAAGAATGGGGATGAACATGCGGGAACATAAATCATCACTACCCACTGCAGAGGAGTTAATAAAAATGGATTTTTTTACATCGTCGTCAGACACGCTACAGAGATTAAAAGGAGAACAAGTGGGAAGCGGCAGAGAGGAAAGGTTGAGTAGAGTGCTAGATTTTGTTGAGCTGTCAAGTGTAACAGGGGAGAGGGAGAAGTGGTGATTTAAGGAGATAAGGTCAACATCCTTGCTGACAATGACAGGGGACTTGCCGATACCCACGGACCGCAGAAACTTCCAAGCATCAGCAAAATTGTGGTTAGCCAAGTTATCATCAAAGTACCGCCTCTTAGCCTCCCTACACAGACGACTGCAGCGATTGCGTAGATTCTTATAGGAAACAAGATATGTGATGTGATACCTATATAATAATCATAAACATACAAGACTTTTATTCTTATTTTTACCTCATAAAAAATATTATATGTCACTACCTTTTGAGAAGGACGGAGTAAAACGTAATCAATGTCTTGTATATAAACAAAAAAAAATTAGGCATACGTATTACCAACAACACATTGAAAACTAAAAATAACCTTTTAACTTACAATGAAAAAACTAAACTCAAAATTAACCCTTCAAAAATAAACATTCAGCGGACAATTAAGTCCGGATTCGCAACAACAGCTCTATACCTCCGTGTCGAGTTAGACTGGAGGCATAAGCTCATTTTTATGGTCCTGGCGACCCCCGATAACGCGCCCCCAACAATGCAAGATATTATTACAATGAATAACAGATAATTGTCGCCTCTCAGACCTCTATGTATAGATTAAATTGATTTGTTACGTATTTGTAATGCGTAGTTGAGTTTTGTAAAGGGTTGTGATTGTGTTTTTTTATGTGCGGTCGCAAGGACCAAGTTTTTTTGGAAACACAAGAAGGACCCTGTGTTTTAAAAAGTTCTAGTTTTTATTTATTTTTTTTGATATTATCGATTTGTTTAAGACTACACGACAGGACACATAATTAACAATTAGTTAGTGTTATAAATAATGGAACGCAACCCAATTAGTTCTTAACTTTGTCGGGTGGTGTCGCCCCTTACGTTTTTTTTCTTTGTCTCTTGTCAAACCGTCAACCATTTTGATTTGATTGTTGTAATAAATTATCGCGTTTAATTATAAAATACTTGCTTTATTTCCTATCAATCCTATAGTTAATTATTTGCGTCGTGTGACGCGGAATGCTGCTCATGAATATGAGCTTCTATTATGACTTGAAACTAGTCGAGTTTCTCGTCAAATAATTAGGCAGAGCCGCAAACCATTTTAATTCATTTAGCAGTGTCTCACGAAAGTTATAGTAGGACATGTTTTTATCCAGCTTCAACGATACGACTTTTAAGATAAAATACGTGTATTACACCTTTGGTGTTTTCGGTGTCCATGGGCAGCGCCGATTGTACCTATACTAATTCAGGTGCACCGTCTGCTCGTTTACCGGCTTATTCCATAAAACAAAAATACGAATCACCTATTGTGTCATAAGCAATTTCTTAAATGGCTTATTTTTTTCACAAAAATATTTTGACCAGATCAATTCGAAGAAAAGTTAACCATTTAATACAGTAAGATAAGACTGTAATCAAAGATTAGGTCTTTATATGCTTACAGGTATAAGGAGTGGTTTCAATTGTTATGATTACAAAAATACACCAATGTATGTTTATGCCTTAGATCCGTATCGTTCGAAAACTTGGTATGGTATTAGAGACACATTTTTTATGTGGGTTAATTTTATCTTCAGTAGTCAATATGATCAGAGGGCAAGAGAAGTGGAGCAAAATCGTGACCAGATTACCATCTGGGGTACCGCCCAGAGAATGAACCAGAAAAAGGGGTAGACCTCTTAACCCGTCGCGGAGAACCTAACGGGTTACCGGGGTTCCGGCTCGAAGTGCAGGAGTAGGAACGAGGTGGTTTTTAGTCAGTAAGAGTCTGACACTCCCTCCCGCCCCACCCAGGCCCGCCTGGGTTAACTGGCCAGGGACAATCAGTAATAGGTATTTTATAGATACTAGACCTAAGTAAAGTAAATTTTAAGCAATTTTAAATTATGTAACGATTATAATATTGTGTCTGAATAAAGGGCTATTTTAATTTATTAATTTTTGATTTATTAGACAAATTAATATATAATATCGTCTGTTAAAGAAGTTTATTCACTCCCAGGTACAAATCAGTAATTCATAATTTTCCCATCTCCTCAATAATATCAGGATCTTCATCCTAGTTAACGACTAAACATAACAAGATTTAAATGAAAAGTTGGTCGGAAAATAAACAGACACAAAATCCTTTTATATTATCACAAAAACCTATAACCAGGAAAAATCTTAAATAACCTAATAAATCCTTTTTTAAAAATATCATCAACAGATATAATAAGAGAATAAACGACATTTATACTTATATAATGTCTAATTAATAGAGATAACACCATCAAACATCCGGTGCCATCTTGTTGACACATAATTGTGTCGCTAAATGGGTGTGTGTTTTATTATACAAACTAGCACCTTACCCGCTGACTTTGCTTAAGGGAGTCTTTGATAATAGCTTGTGGGGTTACGGAGATGTTTATAATGTAAAAAATAAATAGTGTTAGAAGTCGTTGTAGTCTTAACCTAGGCGCGACCCCGTGCCTCATTTATTTGATTTTTTAGACTGAATAAGAACGTCAAACAATCGGGTCAACTTTATTGATAGATTATATCGATGGTCCAGTGATTTAATGATATAATTACCGTGTTTTTCATATAGTTTAATTATTCTTTTCGTTAGTAGTAGTATTTTTTAAACAACCCTAGCTAGTCTTTAGATTACCTAGGTAAATTTTAAGTATAATATTAATTGAATAAATGCTATAACTAATCCCTTTACAGCATTGATTTTACAGATCAGAATTTGTGTCTATAAAATGTCTACGCATTTTTATAAAAAGTGATATACTCAAATTGAGTCAAACTAGACTACAAAAGATCTTAAAATGAATTAATTCCAAAATAATGTAGAAGTAACTCCAAATGCACGGCAGAAGCAACAAAAATATAAAGAAGTTAGTGATATTTCATTCAAAATAATTCCTAAACAATTAAAAGCGCGGAGAAATGCAGTTACTAAACAAATACAGCTTTTTGTTCCACAGATAACGAAATACAGGTGTGTGGCTTTTGTTCTGTGTTTGCCACAGATATGAAATTAAAAAAGATAATGAACGAGACTAAATAGTTTATAGTCGTTTTATTTATTTTACGAATGAAAGGGTAACTGTGTGTGGTTCCTTTTTTAAATTATTATCTTGATTTTTTGTTAAAACCTCCATTCGTTTGTTTAATATTTGTTTTGTATTTAATCAAGGTGAGATAAAGATGTGCGGTTAAAAATGTGTTAATTAAACTTTGAGGTTTTATAAATTGTGATTCAGATAATTTAGTTTAGGTAAGTTTTAGTGATTATTATTATTTAGAAACAGTGTACTGACATTACATATAACCTTTATAGGATATGTCTACCATAATAATATTGCAGTTAAAAATATTGGGTTGTTATTTATTTAGAGTATTTATAAAGATATTTAAAAACTTCACAGTAATACCGGATAAAATTAATAGTAACGCACTGTCTTAGCTATTTATTCTCGTTATTTAATCTAAATTTGTGTTTGAATTAAATAAGGATTTAATGTTTAGTTCTAAAATACCACAAATTACTTCCTAGTTTGGTTAAAAAAAGCCACAGCAATAGGTAATACAGATATACGATTTCATTTCGATATTTGCAATAATATTTTTTATGAAACCTACTTTAACGTTTCCCATTTCTGAAGTTTCAGCTACAATAATATATAGCTCACCTGAGTCTCTTAGCTTCGTCAATGAAGGGCCGCTTCTCCATCTCCGTGAGCAGCTTCCACTCAGCGCCCAGCCTCTTGGAGATCTCAGAGTTGTGCATCTTCGGGTTGTCCTGCGCCATCTTCCGGCGCTGCCCCCTCGACCACACCATGAAGGCGTTCATAGGCCTCTTTATGTGGTCGTTGGGCTGTTTACCCAGAGACATTGTTAGATCAATTTTGACGGCTTTTTAAAAAACTTTTACAAAAAATTAATTTTCTCCACACCGATACTCCACGCGCATTATTTTCTTAGATAACAATTGTTCGAACAGTTCCTTTTTTTCAGTAGTATTTATTTTCTTGTTTTTAATTTATTGGCGTTACATACAAAATATCGGCGATAATAACCGATTAACCGCGCGCGTAGTGAAAAGCTCGTCGAAAGCTCAATGCGGCGCTTTTCTTGCTAGTGTCATGTTAACGGCGAACTCTGGCTTGTCCCCCCCTTGGATTTCCCCCCTCTAGCGTGGCTGGCCAATGATGGGGGGCCGTGGGCGGCCGCTGGGCTGTGATTGGCTGAGGAATCGTTTGTCTCGCGCGCTTCAACAGGTAGCCGCCGCGTTCGTGTTTGCATGTTTATTAGCAAGATTAAATTTCTTTTTAAACCACAATCTTGGGGCAAAAAGAACGCGCCCGTACGCAATCGAATGCTGATTCGATTTGCAGAGCGCGACCGGTGATTTGCACAAATTAATTGTTGACATAAGGTCGCGTTCACACTGTGCACTGGGTAAAGTAATCCTTCGTTTGTCACCATTATTTATTCGTGTTGGATATTGGAGTTTTATTGTGTTGTTGTTATTAAACGATTTGTAATTAATCGGTTCGTTTTATTTTTTATAGGTCTGTCGTACTGTACAATGTTGTTTGTTTGTATTGCGTGGGTCTACTGTCAAATTAATAATCATAATTATTTTCCATGGTAATTTGATTTTATTGCTGTTAGATTGTGGATTTCAATAAATATAAGTATCCTATAACAATTAAATTGTGTTTTATCTCGTGTGAATTAAATAAATACTATTTTTTCTGTTAGTTATAATGATTCTATTTTCACGAGTTTTGTTGGTAGTGGTATGAAGATATAAAGTTTAAATTTTTTTTCAACAAATTATATTAAATATCTGTAGCCATTTTTACAACTATCTTTTTTCAAATTCTAATGAGCTAATGCGATAAAGGTAAATTGATCTTTATGTTTATCAATTTTACATGATTATTAGCAAAAAATATTTTTATTTTTACCTATGACGTAGGTACCTACTATAACTTTTAACATCTAAGTTCAATGGTTTGTTCTCTCAGCTTCTCATTTGACACTCCCTGTATTCTATCTGCTATTACCTATATAAAGTTACATGGGTATTCTTTCAATTATCCTTACCCCTTCCCCAATCACCCCAATCCCTGATCACCCCAATCCTTAAACTGTCAAACACCAAGCGGTCACAGGTGACCGCAACCTATTGTTCTTTAATTGTGTCTATAAATACGGTACTCGACGAGTTAAATCTTCAACAATCCTTAAATTCCTAATCCCCAAAAGGCCGGTAGCGCAATTGTAGCGCCTCTGGTGTTGCGGGTGAGGGGCGTGATTGCTTACCATCAAGTGGTCCGTCTCCTCGTTTACCGGATTATTGGATAATGCCATTCTCTACACAAATCAACTCATTCATTTAGCTACCATTTAAATTTAAATTCAGCACTCACTTTGTTTATAATTACGTTTGTTTGTTACTTTACTTTGTTTATAATTATAATAATATTGCACTCACTATAATGACGTCATACACAAAACAAAATACATCAAACCGAACCACACCTACAAAGTGGCCACACTGAGATAGTTTGTAGGACACGTTCCGGCTCCACAATTATGAAGTGAGGTGACCATTAGAGAGCATTCAGTGAGGAATTGTTTGTGCCCGCGGCTTGTCTCATGCAAATTAGATACCGTCTGGCATGCATGGTGCCATGGTACGTGTATACACACGGCCACACATCAATCTATACAAAACCAGTTTATCCTGGTGTCGCGTCGCATCATCTTTCCGCACATTTAACGTTCAGTTTATACTGGTTATGTAAAGCTCGATGTGTAGCCGTTTGTGTGTTTGTGTGTTTATATGAGACTGTTATGTGAGTCGTGTAAAGGATATTTTGTGATTCTATGAATTTTAGTTATAGTAGTGTGGTGTAGAGGTGAATTTATGAGATCTGCATTAACTATTTGTCAGTGACGTCATTGTTTGATCACTTGTATTGGTTGAATACTGAACAAGAGCTGTCGATTTTGGATCTTGAATTAGGTTGAAACCAGTTACTAAATCCAGTGTATGGTCCCTATTATATGACCCCCTGTCATTAGCATAATTTGCTGGATGTAGCTTCAATTTGTTTGTCTACAATCTATTATATCGAGAAATAATGGGCATGATATAATGTTTTGTTATGTATAAAAAATAATATACAGGAACGAAATACAAATAAAATGAGTGAAGGTTGACACATTGTTTTATTGCGTCATCTTTTTTACAATCTGTGGGCTCAGTCGCGCACCACACGTCAACTCTCACCATAGACTGTATTATCCATAGACTATACCACAGATGCACAACATGTTCATAATTAACGTAACATACAAAGTGTGGCGCTATTGTCAAGTGTTAAAAATTCGAGGTGAATTACAAAAAATAGAAAACTCGTGGGTGCGTTTACAAACATACAAGTTCACATACACATGACACCCAGACCCGGAACAATAATTTGTGGATCACACAAAGTGTTGTTCCGTGCGGGAATCGAACCCGCGACACGTTGCACGGCAGCCGGTTGCCCAGCCACCGCACCAACCGTGCAGTCAAACGTAGTACAGTACGTAGTAACACTACAGTACAGTAAATGTAGTAAAGTCTCCATTCTCCACTTCTACCTACCCTTTGAATTATAGGCGTAATGTAGTGTTAAGGTATAATTTTGGAGGGAATGTCATTACACCGGCATCACCCGTTTGATTGGCAGGCGTACGTGAAATTGAAACAGAGCGGCTACATGATTCGGTTACTGGCAGGTCAGTGTACACTCATACGCTGCGGTGTTACGGGAAAAATTAAGAAAAAAATTTTATTAACAAATTACTAAACCTTGTTATTTTGTATTTTTGTCAAAGGATATGGACTTGCGTCTGAAATAAAGACACACACACACACACACACACATACACACACACGTGTATTGTAAAAGTAACACTGGGTTTTAAACCTGTAAAGTGTAACAGACTGTGTTTTTATAATAACTATCGTCATACTAAATTAATAATAAACATAAGCCTGGGCTTTGCACCTGTACCTGTTTCCTTTAAGTTAAACACACACAAATACACATTTCTAAACCCCGACCACCATTAAGATCGATGAGAAATATTTTGTAAATCAACCAGTAAATAGAAATACATTTTGTTCAATGCATCGTGTACGACCAGCTTCTTTCTCATTCCAATTATTGACAGTTCTGTGTAATGAGGTGTTTACCTCATTACTCATTACACAGATACTGTTTAGATAGAAGTACAGAAAAGTCCTATATAGAGCTGCAAGTTCTAGATAAAGCCTTACATTAATGTGGTTTCATGTTAATGAGACATTGTAGAACATACATTTTTAAAAAGAGTAACGAATGGTGTTTCTTGCTCGTTCTTCTCCATTCGAATCTACTTTTTGGAATGAGCACCTATAGCTTCACCTAGTTTCACTGACGGACTGCCTGACAGACTATTTGTATTTGTTGACGTTTCAAAAGTACCAAACTATGGTTTAATTGAAATAAATGTTTTGACTTTGACTTTGTTTCTTTATAAGCATTCACATTAAGCAAAGGTATAATGTATTCTAGCGAAGATACGAAGTATTTTCCACATAAATGTACAGTAAACAATCCGGTGTGTCGGCCACAATATCGCGTTATGTACCGTTTTGCCGCATGGTCGCGTCGCCCGCGGGCGGCAGACGGTCACACCGACCTCTGTTCTACACAATACCATCACTTTATCAAGTAACTCACCATCACACATTATTTACTGTTTTACAATCTTTTAAATATTTAAGGGAGATTTTAGGGGTGTTTGTCAGTTGATAGGTGTTAAAGTTGGTGGATTAATAGTTGACTTTTTAACCGACTTTAAAAAAGGAGGTTCTCGGTTTAACTTGTATGTAAGTATGTGTCTTTGCCGGGCAAGGGGTCTCGGGTTCGATTCCCGGGTCGGGCAAAGTATTAAAAAAATCTCAGTAGTAGCACGGAGTCTGGAATTGTGCCCGGTATATGGCAATAGGCTCACCCCCTATTACATGGGACTCACATAAATATTGAAAAGTGGGTGAACAGATATTATGTAGATGTGGGTTTGTCCGCGAGCCACTTAAGGGGCCAGTAGAATACCAGCGCAAGGCCCTGTCTTGCACATGCTGAACTGGTTCCATTTCACAGCAGACTTGGTACCTAAACTTGTAGCCATCAGTATTTATAAACTAACACTATACTCTATATATGTCACTTGCCTTTAACGTGTGTTATTTTTTTTTCTATGTACCTGCACAGAAACACACACCCTTTTTTATTTCTATTTATTTATTTTGGGGTTTTTATCCACATGGATATGCCAACCCCATCGTACCCTCTTAGTTTTAATAACACTACCTTAAGTAATAATATAAATAAATTAATTTATCGAGAGAGAATCATCACACACACACTTAAATCAAGACACAAAAGTTATTAACACACAATTTAAACAATATAAGCGTTATCGATAAACGAATAAAAAGAATAACAGCACTAGGGACAATTTTATCCGCGGTAACACGACATGATGTCGAGCGCCCATCGATAAATACGTTTGGTGCAGTGGCCCGCGCACCACTAGTCGACAATTTTGTTACGCGACACCCACGCATCACTATTTTCATAGCCGTTATGTTACTTAACGGTTTACGGGTTATTTTTTGGTTAAATGTCAAAAGTGGTTTGTAGCCATTATGAACACAATTATAGCATTGATGAAATTGTGTTGGGTTATTAGTTTGTAATTTGATTAAAACATAACTTTTCCTTATGAGTGATGAGTTAGTTTACTCATGTTCATCATCATAAATGCCCACTGCTAAGCAAAGCCTCTTTTCACACGGAGAAGGTTTGAGCATCATTCATGAGCACAATTTGGTTGGCGATTTCAAACTTTTAATAAGAAATTATAAATCCAAGTTTCCTCACGATTCCTACACCGTTTGTCAGTGATGTCTAAATAATCTTAGAAAGTACATATATAACTCGGAAAAAGTCACATTGGTACACACGGCTACACATTGAGCTTTACATAACCAGTATAAACTGAACGTTAAATGCGTGATGATGCTATGACGACGAAAGATGATGCGACGCGATACCAGGATAAACTGGTTTTGTATAGATTAATGTGTGGCCGTGTGTACCACCACGACTATGTACCATACACACGTTGTCTTTGAGTCAATCGATATAAACGTAATTTTTCACCTTTTAGTTACCCCCTATAACACGACTGACTAAACTTGCACAATTATTTAATGTTAGACTGATAATACGTAATAATAGATAGAATAGTTAATACGTGAGACATA